GGTGGTGGTGGGGGGAGAGAGTTGTGTTTGTTTTGATCCATATAACCCAACAGTAGGAGGGAAGCTGGGGACTTCCTGAATTTAGGAGAGGATGCTTGTTGTTGTTTAATGCAAGGACCAGAAAAAGGGTTGAGCATGAGGGGTACTTTGTAATCTCTAAAATGAGTTAATAAATAAGACTCCAGAAAGGGAGCTATTCTTAGTTCCTGGGTGGCAGTAAATGCTTGCCAGCATAAATAAACAGATAAGGGTTATGAACCTGCTGGGCCACAGGAGGTGTGCTTAAGGGGAGTGTCATATTTCATGCTTGCTACCAGCAACTTACTGATTTCTGATTGCTCCTATAGAGAGAAATCCAGTCATTAAACTTTCAAACTTTTTGTTTTAAATCATTAAATTTGGGAAATATCCCTAATGTTGGGCTTTCTAGATTTAAATTTCTCTTCAATGTTGTGTTAAATCCAGAAAAAGGGTTGAGCATGAGGGGTAGTACAGAGGGGTATTTTGTAATCTCTAAAATGAGTTAATAAATAAGACTCCAGAAAGGGAGCTATTCTTAGTTCCTGGGTGGCAGTAAATGCTTGCCAGCATAAATAAACAGATAAGGGTTATGAACCTGCTGGGCCACAGGAGGTGTGCTTAAGGGGAGTGTCATATTTCATGCTTGCTACCAGCAACTTACTGATTTCTGATTGCTCCTATAGAGAGAAATCCAGTCATTAAACTTTCAAACTTTTTGTTTTAAATCATTAAATTTGGGAAATATCCCTAATGTTGGGCTTTCTAGATTTAAATTTCTCTTCAATGTTGTGTTAAATTGTTAAGTAATAATTAGCTTAGGGTACGTCTACTCAGCATGCTTATTTTGAAATAAGCTATTTCAGATTTTTTTCTTCCAAAATAGCTTATTTTGAAATAGCGCGTCTCCACTACAGGGAAGCCTCAAAATTAGTCTGAGGCAGGCTTCCCTAATATGGATATGCTACCTCAATTTAGAGCCCGAGGCGGCACTGGGGAGTAATTATTTTGAATGCCTCTGGGGAGGAGCTATTTTGAAATAGCAGCAGGGGAGCATCTACACTACTGCTATTCTTAAATAGCTATTTCGGAATAGGCGTTATCCTCGTGGAACGAGGTTTACAGATTTCAAAATCAGTCGTGCATTATTTTGACAATTTCAAAAACAGAATTGCTGAGTAAATGCTTGCGTTGTTATTTCAAAATAAAGGCCATTATTTTAAAATAACTGTGTTGTGTAGATGCACCCTAACAGATTACCCAAAACATCCGAACCCTGCCCTCTGCTTCTGATGTGTATTGATGGAGACAAAATAAATACTGCGAGAAGACAATATAAGGGATGTTGACATTATGAACAACAATATTAATGATGAGCAATTATATTATGGTAGGTCTCAGAGGACCCACTCAGGCGCAGAACCCTATTGTGCTAAGTACTCTATAGTCACACAAAGTCTGTGCAAGAAAAAGCTAACGAGTTAGGAAGAGAAATGGCATTACGAAGGTGGGAAGAAAAGGATGGAGTCATACATACATTGAGGCTACGTGTAGACTGCATTCCTCTGTTGACAGAGGGATGCAAATCAAGCACATAGAAATTGTTAATGAGGCAGGGATTTAAATGTCCTGTGCTTCATTAGCATAAACATGGTCGCTGCTTTTTTCTAAATGGAGCTTTTTCGAAAAAAAATCTCAGCAGTCTAGCCACGGATCTGTCGAAAATAAATCCTTTTTCAACAGATCCTGTATTCCTCAAAAAATGTGGTTTACAGGATCTGTTGAAAAGGGGTTTATTTTCGACAGATCCACATCCTAGGTGTCACAAGGAGGAAGGAGAAAATTTGTTCCTCTTGGTTTCTGAGGACAGGACAAGGAGTAATGGGCTTAAAGTGCAGCAGGGGAGGTTTAGATTGGACATTAGGAAAAAATTCCTAACTGTCAGGGTGGTCAAATATTGGAATAAATTGCCAAGGGAGGTGGTGGAATCTCCCTCTCTGGAGATATTTAAGAACAGGTTAGATAGATATCTGTCAGGGATGGTGTAGGTGGAGCTTGGTCCTGCCTTGAGGGCGGGGGGCTGGACTCGATGGCCTCTCGAGGTCCCTTCCAGTCCTATTATTCTATGATTCTATCTAGACTGCTGATTTTTTTCAAAAAAGCTCTGTGTCGAAAAAAGTGGTAGCCATGTTTATGCTAATGAAGTGTGGGATATTTAAATCCCTGCTTCATTAGCAATTTCGATGTGCCCAATTTGCATCCCTCTTTCGACAGAGGGATGCAGTCTAGACACACCCCCGGATGGGGAACTGAAGCCCAGAAAGAGTAAGGGCAAACATCCGCTACCTTTGGGTGCCCAATTTGAGATGCTTAGTCAATGTTCCTTTCTTTTTTCCCCATCTATGTACAGAATGAAGTCTGTTATGTGCACCAATATCGAGTAATTACAGATGTCTGTCACCAGTAAAAACAAAAATCCTAAGTATAAATCACATTCACATATTATACAGTACAGATTAACACAACTATTTTTTCATTAATGGTAAGGCCAAAGTCTACTCTTTTCACTTGAAGTAAAAGTCCCTTGGGCTTTCTGAACTAACCATCATAGAATTTGGCCTTAGAGGTGAATGCTTTTAAAAATCTGCAATCAGCAACATCTTTAAATCTGTATTGTCACCTTCAAGTTTAACAAATGTAAAAGTTCAGTTTACTCACTCAGTCTCTGAAAAAAACATCTGGAAGATAATTGTACAGTGAATTATTTGTATACAGTATTCTATTAACATGAAATCTGCAAACAACCCCCAAATCTTTATATACAAGATGCATAGCTGAGACCAGTCTGAAAATTAGAATCCCTATTGGTTGTCTTTAATGTGAGTCACACACACAGAGCCTGTATTTGAAAGGAAATTACTCTTGTACTAAAAGCAGTACATATTTTCATATGAAAGTGTTTCATATTAAAATACATAGTAGATTTATATTCAAAAGGAGAAAATTATCTGTTTCTGACACAATGGATAGTGAAATTACATGGAGCTGATAGAACTGCAGCGATGATTATTACATTATCTCGATGGGTGGTTATTTCTACGTATTGAACTGATGGTCAACATTTGCCAATTTATTCAAAATACCAAAGTTAATGGTGTTTTTGCAACACAAGCAGGAGTTAGCATACAATGAAGGGCCCAAATAGACTAATATCAAATCCCTTTTTTAGGAAGTGTTTTGAGAAAGGTCTAAAGATTCAAAATCAAACATACGTACCCCCCAATATCAGGCTTTCTTAGCAAAAATTCATAAACTACTTTCTTTGGATGTTCAATTTGTTATTTAGACAGAGGTGGAGAACCTAAAGCCCAGGAGCCAGATGTGATCCTTTGCTTGCCTGGATCTGGCCCCTGAGGTTTCAGGGCTCCTCTCACAAACCATTGGGGAGCCCACACTGGTACTCCAGCCTCCGTTGCCCCTGCCCAAATGATTTTTCTGTGGGTCAGCAGCCCCCTACCCAAAAAAGGTTTCCCACCCTCGATCTAGACTGTTAAAGATTTTCTACAGATAGCCCTTAATTAGTTTTCAAGAGGAAACTTGCAACTACACAACAAAGGGCATCTTCATTTACCCCCCCTTTAATTCATCTTAAAAAAAGAACCTAGTTACGTGATTTTAAAAAAGCAGTGTTGTGCCACTAAAATTGACACAGAAAATAACTGCTCGGGTTTTGTTTGCTTTTTTTTTGGAGAAGCAACGATTGATTAATCATTTCTTTTTAGACTATGTTGCAGCCAAACACCCAATAGAATGGACTGATTGATTAATAGCAATATTTTTTTAAAGTACTTGGTGATCTCTCTTTCTCTTTTCTTCTCAGGTAATTCCATAGAGGAAAAAAAGAAAGGGGTTTAAGTGAGCAATGCAGTATCCAGAGGTGAAATGCAATTAACACTGCTCTTTAAAAAAAAAAAAAATCATTTATAGCTATTTCATCATCGTCCCTTCACTCTTGCAGTATGTAAACAGCATCAATAGCCTAATATCAGACTCATGCCATTGGGCCAGAAGAAGGTGCCTACGTTCTTCCAACCCTCAATTTCCTCTGAGTCCAGGTTTACCAGTTTGGGTTCCCTTGTGTGTGCCAATCACACCTGCCTGGTGTGTTGGAGCAAACCCAGAAGCTGCTGGTGCTACTTAGTTGGGATTGCAGCTGCACTAAGCATAGCCTGGGCAGCTTCAGACACTTCTCTCTTGGTCTCTTTGTTACCACCCTGAATTCTGAGCCATTTTGGAACCATTCCCAAGGCTCTGCTCTCGTGGTTCCTTCCCAGCAAGGGGCAGGGGACCTGGAGAGAAAGTTATCCCCCATCCTGCGGAGGAGGATGGGGAGCATGTTATGCAAAAATCAGAAGTCAAGGTGCTATGTAGTGGTCCCATAAGTCCTGGGTCAGAGCAGGGATGAGGGCCCTCTGTCTTCTTCATGGCTCTTCCCACTACTATCTCTAGCCCCATCCTGCACCCAGGTGCTGCCTTCCTGCCATCACGGAGGAGGTGTGCGCCTGCATGGCTATAATAATCAAGTGCACAGCAGTCATTGTAGTGTTGTGTGGCCATGCAGGCATGGCAGCTTAGAGGGAACACATCTTAAGACCTGATTTTTTCATACTGCTTAGCAGAATGTAGCACTTTATATGTATGAACATAGCTCACCGTGACTTCCGCTGCAGCTGTAAGCACTCAGCACTTCTGCAAATTAGATCCCACAGTATCAAGTCAGACACCAAGAAAATGAGGAATGTGCAATTAGTGGCCTTCTGTAAAGAATTTGGTTTAAGTGACCAGCCCAGTACAGGAATTCTGTAGCAGATGCAGGGGTAGAAAATCCAATTGCCTTAATCGTGACACAATCCTTTCTCTTCCTTCACTGCCTTCCTCATTCACCTGCTCCCCTTCCAACCTGTGGAACAAATGGGACAAGCAACAGGCAAAGTTTGACAAAGTTATATGCAACTGACAACAGGATCTTACCATGAAAATAGTCTGTCAACATTATAGACAGAACTGCTGGTGCCTTCTATAGTTAATGACACTTGTTAAATGGCTGATTTTTCTTTTAACTATACCATGAACACTCCCGAGAGATGAAGGGAGGGTAACAGCCTTTGAGGAAAGGATGCTCCATACATGAGGGGCAATAAAGAGAAAAGATGGGGGAATATTTGCATGAGATGCTGACAAATAGATGGAGGTGAATGGCATCTGCAGCAGAGCCGAGAAGTATGGGCTCAGGGGCTGTGTCTTCACTGTGAGATCTTTCGGCAGAAAATATGCTAATGAGGGACTCGTTTGCATAAGTTGTGATCTCATTGGCATATTTTCTGCTGTTTCTTTTTGCGCAAGGGGTTTTTGTGCAAAAAGAAGCCGTGTGGACAGGTTTTTTGTGTGCAAAAATCCCATTTTGTGTATGATCCTTATGCCTCTCTGGGACAGGCATAAGGACCTTGTGCAAAACAGGGTTTTCGCACACACACACAAAAGTCCACACTGCTTCTTTTTGCGCAAGGGATTTTTTGGCAAAAAGAAATGGCAGAAAATATGCTAATGAGATCGCAACTTATGCTAATGAGTCCCTCTAGCATATTTTCTGCTGGAAGCTCTCGCAGTGACGACAAAGCCAAAGACTATGCAAAGACTAAGCATGGAATATCGCTGAGCCTCATTTGCATACCCAATGAACCGCCATTTTTGCAGAAGAAGATCTTGTGGCAGAAGGAGCTGTCTACACGGCCTCTTCTTGTGCAAGAAACCCCCTCTTGCGCAATGCCGTTATTCCTGAAAATAGTCTCGCCTCCCAGCTGGGACTCCCAGCCACTTCCCCTGCCCCCACCAGGCTTCTGCGCAATCACAGGCTACTAGCGTCGATCGTGGCCCCGCATTCCAGCTGCTCCCCCCACCCATACCAGGCTTCCGTCCGGTGCGCAGCCAGAAAAATCAGAGAATACCGGACATGGCACATGTCCAGTATTCTGATTTTTTTTTTACCGGACAAAGAGAACAAATACCAGACTGTCCGGTAGAATACTGGACACCTGGCAACCCTAGGTGCTCCATATGAGGATTCTTAGGCCCTCCTTTGGCTGGCAGCCTGAGAGCCCAGTTGGAGAGCTGGCCAGGACTGTCTTCTCAGCCCAGGCTGACCCTGGGGCATTGGCCCAAAACCGTTGTGGCTGAGAGACTGGAGCTGGAATCCTGCCAAGGGCAAATAGTGCAGGACTGAGGCTGCTTGAGGTAGGCCTGAACAGGGTATTGGAACCCAGGAGTGGGGCCACCCTTCCTCAGCAGTTATAAAGGGAAAAAATAAAGGGGACCAAACTAAACCTGAGTGGGAAATACTCCTTTGGTCATAAAACATGGTTAAGATCTAAAACCATCAGATGGCAGTGTGTATGTAGCCATGAATAATTCTGGAACCCACTTGGAATGAACTGCAATCTCAAAAAGCCTATTTAATAATATGATTCACAACATCAAATCCTTTAGACAAGTCAATAAAGAAGGCTGTGCAGACTTATCCTTTATTGAAAGCATTAATAATATTGTTAGTTAATCTGCCAGGATTGCCATAATGGGCTTTAAAATGTGACTAACAGAGTGAACGCCTCAGCAATCATCTCATTCATTACTAACTAATGGTTTCCTAATTTTGGAACTGGCTGAGAAGATGGATACAGGTTAGACAATTATTTAATCATTATAATAATCCGCACTTTATCTGGGGATCTCAAAGTTCTTTGCAAAGACTAAGAACAGGAGCCTTGCAGCACTGCTGTAGGATTGGGTAGGGCCATATATGTAATATTAGAGATCGCTGCAGGTGCTACTGGGAAGATATGCTCTGCTTTGGTGGAATACAACAGGAAAGTGGGACAACATTGTTACTTTGAACATAAGAACATAAGAACGGCCGTACTGGGTCAGACCAAAGGTCCTTCTAGCCCAGTATCCTGTCTACCGACAGTGGCCAGAACCAGCTGCCCCAGAGAGGGTGGACCGAAGACAATGATCAAGCGATTTGTCTCCTGCTGTCTCTCCCCAGCCTCTGACAAACAGAGGCCAAGGACACCATTTTATCCCCTGGGTAATAGCCTTTTATGGACCTAACCTCCATGAAATTATCTAGCTTCTCTTTAATCTGAGACCTCTGGAGCTTAGTGCAGGACTCTCTAATGCATGAGCTAAAAGCCAGCTCCCTGCTACCTAAGACTGCACAGCAGACTTCACACTCCCTTTTCAGTGGTCTCAGTGCCTCTGGATTACACAATGGAGAATACCTCAAGGACTGTAGATAACTTGTGATCCTTAGTAAAGTGAATGAGAGTCTTTCAGCACTACTGATTGCTTTAGATCAGTGTTTCTCAACCCTTTTTTATAAAGTACCCCCTTGAAAAAAAGTACTCCAGTACCTACAGTTTTCAGACACACACATTGTTTTCTACCACTGCACAACACATTTGTTTAAACAACTTAATTGTAGCTGGGCGGGCGATGAAATTTTTAGATGAAAGTACAAAATTAATAAAGCACTGTAAAACTTAAAACAAAAATTCAGTTTTCTCCAAATTTCATTTGTGTTTACATACTCTCAGACTTATCTCAACCACTGGCTGAGAAATACTGCTTTAGATCAGATAACCTTTTCCACCAGAGGGGCACTGCAGCTTGATGGCCCCCTACTGGTCCAGTACAGAATTGAAGGACCAGTTTTGAACTTGAATCCTAACAATTGTATTTTATCTTGCAGTCAGTAGATGGCAAGGCTGGCCGTAATTCAACTGTGAAATTACTGAGTGGAATTCTATGGTCTGTGTTCTGCAGGTTAGCCTGGGTGATCATCACATTCTCTTCTGGCCTTAAATTCTAATTCTTTGTGACATTTTCATTGGTTTATTTTCTTTTGTCTAACTTCTCTTGGCATCTTTTGGATACTTTCTCGGCCGGAGTGTTGCTTTTAGAAGACTCGTTAAATATTTTTGTTTTAGCTCGCACGTTTTTAAAGCTCAAAGAAGGAGTAACTGGCAAACATTTCAAAGGTAACTCCCTGCTCATTCTACGTTACGCATTCCCCATCCAAACCATAGCGAATATGAGTCTGTCACTTACTTTAAGAAGCTGGCTCTTTAGCTCAAGCCATAGAGCTTTCAGATTTAGCAGTTCCCAGTTCAGTGATGGGGGCTCTCGCACAAGCATGTAGCAATGAAGAAATGCAGAAATAGATATAAAGTACACTCTGTGTAATCTCTATGTGGAAAATAGGCATATCTGAAGTTTAATGGAGATGATTTAAAGGAAGCCAATTTATTCCCATTACTATTCAATATTCAGTCTTACAAGTGACAGAATGCCACTTTCCTGAGTTGCAAGACACAATCCTTCTTTATGAATTTCAAGCAGATTCACCACTTACATGTGGCAGAATGCCAAAGATCGAGTCCTGTCCCTGTTGAGTTTAAAAGCACTGCGGTGACTTTTAGAGTTTAGAAGCTCGATAGCTTCACACGCTCCCATGGCACTCTTAAATTCTCCAGGGACAGACATGGCTAACTCCGTAGATGATTATCATTATTGCAGAAGCAATATTTCTCCTCTTGCCAGTATAAAGCCAGTGACTGGTTGGCAGGTGGGACTGAATCTGAGACCTCTGGAGCTTAGTGCATGAGCCTCTAATGCATGAGCTAAAAGCCAGCTCCCTGCTACCTAAGACTGCACAGCAGACTTCACACTCCCTTTTCAGTGGTCTCAGTGCCTCTGGGTTACACAAGCATTGAGTATGTGGCTGAAACAAGGAAAACGTTATTAGAAGAAAGGGGAACGCAACTTGAGCTAAGGAGAACATCAACAATCTATTCATATGAATGGCACATAAAATACTTCCCCACGTTAACTTTGGGCAGTCGTCTGTTAGCTCAGTTCTCCATCTACCAGTATGACTCTCCAATAAGCAAATGTCCTTTACCACTTATCTGCTAACTCCCACTCATGGTGTGGTGTCAGCAGACAGCCGAGGCCCAGAGTCCTGAGGTGCACTTGAACAGACCTTTTTCTGATCCTGAGACTCAACCACATCTCCGGGTCACAGGGCAGACTAACTACCAAGAATGTCTCCTGCTGGTCACTCAGGGAATTAGCCTCTTTGGTGTTGGAGCACCCCCTTCTGGCTGGTGTCTCACCTGCTGTTACTGTTATTTTCCACCACTCTGTCAGGGTTCACGGCACTCCCAGACCGTGGCGCCCTCCTACTGGGCTACTGCCCCAGAGCTGTGCCCCTACACTTGGGAGTACTCGCCCTCTGGGGACCCTCAAACCCCCTATGATGACCTTGCCTCAGTGACCCACTGCCAGCCTTCCTCTAGCCTATCCTGGATGCCTCCCGCAGCTCTAGTATTCGGAGGCCTTGCTTCAGACCCTGCAGCCTGGGAGCTTGCCTGGCCAGAGCTTCTCCAGTTCTGCCTGACTTTCCCCAGCCCTGCTCTAAATCAGGAAGCCTCTAGCTCACTTGGCAGTAGGTCCCTCCTGCTCCCCAGCCAGAACAAGAGTGTGTCTACTCCTCTCCATGAGCCTTTATTTGTACTCCCCTCAGCTGCTTCCTAATCTGCTGCAACTGCTTGCTCCAGCCCTCACCTAGGACTGGGTTTTAACCCCTTAATGGGCCAGTGTGGGGCAGACACCCCGTCACGCTCAGCTATAGTTTGTTAAAGTTTTGTTTAGGGCCTCCGTAGATAGGGGCTCTAGAACTCTTTCAGAAGTGCTGCTCTCCTCTGTAGCTTCAGGAAAGAGCTGCCTATACATTACCATTTCTGCCACACCCTCCCCAAGAGCCATTCCAACAGCACAAACTTCTAGCAGAGAAGAACCAGTAGCCTTTTAGGGCCCATGAGCAGAGTCCTTGTGACCAGGCAC